TACTCGCTTCCAACCGAATGCCAAATTGTGGAAGGTAATTTTTTTTTTATGTGGCATTTTGGGAAATTGGCACACAATGGCCTACGGCTGCTGCTGCTGGTGATGCCACGGGTTCCTGAACGTGATTTTGTTTCTCACAGCACACGGCAAGCTCCGGCGAAACAGCCCCCAGCAGGAATCAGCCAGCGACGAGAGGAAGAATGAGCGGCGCGCACAAGCGGCCCGGAGCCTCTGGGACAGCGGACACTGAAGAGTGCGCGCCAGTACCACTGAGATCCTGCAGATGTCACAAGGAGCAACTGATTTTCCCTCCTTAATGAAACCCAATTTAAAGAATAAGCTCCGAGAAATGCCACCAAAGTTGTTTCATGCACCCGTGATTAAACCAGGTTCTCACACATACAGAGTTTACAGTCTCAGTTAAGTTCATCCTGACTACACACGCAATTTTGTAGTCACCTTGTCGCTTAATTTCGCTCTTTGGAAAGCGCATTTTTGGTGTGACTGCGATTTGACAAACACTCTTAACAGGGCATCTAAAATGTGCAACGCTCACTGAGCTTAACCGGTACACAAGCGAAGAGACTTCAGAAGTAGTTCTGTGATACTATCTTCCTGAGGCCGTTCACTGACATTAAGTGGATGTCGTTCTGTTCTCTCAGAGTTCCAATATGAAAATGTTTCTGTTTCGAACAAAGAATATAAAAATCAATAACGATGACAAAATGGGAACACATGATGTCCATCGTGCCAATAGGAGAGCTTGTCCAGGCGAACTGGCTCAGTGGCGATGACCACTGCAGGGCCACCTGGGTGTGCCCACCACCTCAAGCAGGCAGCAGCATTCAATCTCAATCTTTGTTGAGCCCCTGTGCTTTTTTTCATTTGCATAAATATAATGCCCACATGCACACACACACGCACACACACCACACACCACACACACCACCCACACACAAACACCCACAAACACCCACACACACCCACACACACCCACACACACCACACACCCGCTACTGTTGCTGCCCCGTCCAGTCTGGGGAGCTCCCTCCTTGCAGGCCGAAACAGGCAAAATACATTCACGTTACAAATTACTAGGGTACTTTATGTGATATGGATTATTTTTTTTAAATACCAATTGCTTTAGGTTGCGTGAAATTTTGGAGCATTACTTGCAAATTACAAATATAACAAAATGTAAGACTCTAACTACATGTAATGTAGATACTGGCCATCTCTGCTTGAGGGGCTGTACGCACTGCAGATATTTCTCCCGTCCAGGTTCAAGGCTGTCCTCTCTCTCTGCCTCCCGACGACTTCGCGCCTTCACAGTCCAGCCGTGTCCGTCTGTACCCCATAGCCATCTTCCCCCCCCCACCTCACTCCGATTCACCTCTGAAAAAATCCCCAAAACGAATTCCTCTTGCTGGCAATGCACTTCCCTGTTTGTACAGCATCATCAGCTGCAGTGGCATTTATATCCGTTACAAGATAACTCACTCCTATCAAAGCGTTCTCCACTTCCGGGCCCAATATGGCTTAGCCCAGTTGTTTTTGCATATTGTCTTAATTGCCAACAAACTAAGGAAGAGTCCTACAACAGCGAACTCCTACTACACTCTTCATCAGAAGGACACAAGGCCAAGGACTCTGGTCCAATAGCTTATAAGAAGGCGAAACACTAACTATCCAAACCAAAATTATCCTGGTAACTTTCTGAACCAAAAATAATGTAAATGTCCATAAACATGTACACATATAGTCCACTTTGTCCATTCACTTCTAGATGCGGGCTTACCACGCCTTTGTGGGACCAGTGAAGGGTAATTGACCATACTTCACCACTCTGGTCAGTGCTTTGCAAATGGGAGTCACCCACCCAAGCACTATTAAGGCTGGAGCCTGCTAAGATTCTGAGACCTATCGATAATCAGGGGCAACTTCGGCTAGTTTGTTAACAGGCTGTGAGAGACATGAATTGGGATATATTAGCTGCGGTGTGACAAGGAAGGCAAGGCTTCTTGCACGTTTCTCTCCATCTCCACGAATAAGGCACAGCGCTGAAATGCAAGCACGCACGCACACAGAGCTCGTAGCAGGAGCAGCTAAAATCAATCTCCATAAAATAGGTTTTTGGGTTAGATCGCGTAAATAAATAAATGTGGGGTTAAAACCCGCCACCACCCGACACAGCCAACTAGTAAGGGTTGTCACGTAAACAGAACGTGCTGGAGAGCCAAGCCACAACATTTACAATCTGAGTACGACGCTTTGCCAGTAATTACAACTAGCTTCATCAGGCGACAGACAGATTTGTTTCGTTCCTATAAGGAACGAAACAGTAAGACTTCTCCATAATATATATCTACGCGATCTAACCCAAGAACCTCTATTATGGGCGATATTGGTCGCGAAAGCCTACGTGTTAAAAAACAATCTCCTCCATCAGACTTCCCAGATTGCCAGAGCCAGTGCAGCGAGCAAACGGCGATCGAGGCTGGCACAGCGACAAATAAGGGCATAGAAACTGGCACCAACGTATGCCAAGTCACGTTCCTCTTGTTGCCAATGCCGATGTGAACCGCATGAGTGGTACTCTATTTTTTCAGGCGAAGTCTACCACCTTGGCGGAGATAGAAAACGCCACGGGAATTGTGCATAGCTAGGACTCGAACCCAGACCCACGTGCAGAACGGTCGAGCGGCGTGTCAATCCGAAAGCCACCACTCGGCATATGCTGACGTGCATCCGTGCACTTGCAGACACACGCACGCACGCTTGCGAATCCCACACGCAAGGCACCGTCTGTACATTCACAGTAGGACTAAGTCACGATCGGCGGGTACATCCCTAAATGAGAGCGACGAGGTGAAGCTTAAATCCGTTAACGCGGCGCGACAATGGATAAACGAACAGCCCCGTTGTGTATCCGTGCGAGCGAGCGTTTGCCCGTAGAGTGACACGGAGAGGAGAGAGGTGAGGCAGTGCAGCTCACATTGACCATTGTGAATCGTCAATGTTGGTTCTCCTCAATATCTGTTCCAGGACAATGCATATATTTGCCCTTGCCTGGTATACAGTAGGGCTGAACGATTCATCGATTTCAAATCGAAATTTGAAACAATGCGATTAGCAAATCACAAAGGCTGCGATTTTTTGCGATTTGAAAAGTCCTATTGGTTTATTATTTATTATTATAACTTTATGTATTATTTTTTATTTATTTAACTAAAAATCGCAATTAGATATTTTCCCCAAATCGTTCAGCCCTAGTATACAGGAGGTCGTGGGTTCGATCCCAACCCTAACGCCTGTATATTTGGAGTTTGCATGTTCTCCCCGTGGCCGCATGGATTTTTCTCCAGGTCCTCCAGTTTTTCCGACCACATTTACAACACACGATTAGATGATTTGGCTGCTAGAAATTTCCACGTGATAAGCCACTTCGTTGAGCTATCATTTGTGGCCCAGTCACTTCTGAAAAAGAGCTCGAAAGCTCAGTGGGCCTTACCTGGTAAAGATAAACTAGAAACCAAACAAATTGTTTTTATGTACCCCAGGTTTGGGTCAGGCTTAGGTTTTTGGTTAGGGGTTACCGATTTGGGGCTCTGGGCTACATTGTTTCGGAAATGGATTAAAAAATTAATTACACTGAAAGAAAAACAGCCAGGTGTCTCACAAACATGTTTAAGAATGCATGGGTTTGGAACTTCATGTGCAAAGATCAGTTTGTTGTAAAAAATAAAAAAAATATTGGGGTTCAATATATAGGGATGGGGACCCAATTTTCCCGAATTTGCATTCCTAGAGATATTTGTGGGGGGAACACATCCTCTCAGATGGGGAACTAACCCCAGTGCCGCTGCAGTGTGGCACAGCGCACAGACCCCCTACTAGTGGCGTGGCTTCAGCGATTGCGAGTGGAATCGTGTACATTATTCAGGGTTTTCATACCAAATTTCAACAATTATTAAAGAATGAAAGTTTGGCAACTGGTTTAAACGGTGTTGTTGAAATGTTGGGGTTATGTAAAGTTCATTCATTGTTTCCACAAACATCTCTAAAACCTGGAGCTACCTTCGATAACAATGACCAGAAGCATTTTAACACTCACAGCCGGATATGCAGGGTGATTCCAAAGAGTCCTGGACTCTCTGAAATACCCGTGCGAAATATCTCGCCAATACCACGGTGGGCAGACATGTGGAGCTCCAGAGCGATGAGGCTCATGACAAAGTCTTCACACTCCCAAGCCTATATGATCTATAGCCGTATTAAACATTTATCAAACTGCAGTCCGATTGTATCTTACAATAGTAATCAACCCCTTCGTCAATCAAAGGTCTACCCCCCCCCCCCCCCCATGCCATGTGAATTGTGGGGGTTGTTTGTCCCTACTTCGCCATGCTGGTCAGTGTGAGATTGTTAATTGAGGGGGGAACTCAGGACAAGTGGTTCAGACATCACTCGCCACTGATGTTAGCCTTGGCTGGGAACCCAGCCATAGTGTGCAAACAACTCTGTGCCACTGCTGCTGTATTATTACACGAAGACATACTTGTATTGACACCCAGTATATTGCATCGTGTGTACAAACATATAAAGTGCCCTGTCGATTATATTGCTGGGTTTTTAACATAGTGGTCCATAGGGAAGCTGAAGGTCGTGAGTCACAATCTCCTGAAGGACTCATGCAAGGCTCAGTGCAAGTACAATGCCGTGTGCATTCTTTGCGAATCAGTCGCTTGCGCTGGTCACACAATCACAGTTTTAAACAAAGCTTCCCATCGCTGCCTTTTGCTCGATTACCACCAACTCTCTGAGTGCTAATCTCTTTAGCTCGTTTCTCTTTGCCGTGATACGTCTCGTTAAGCCTAAAAGCCCCCACGGATCCACTCAACGGCGCGAGGCCCCCACGCAGTCAAGTCAGGCAGCTTAACGTTTGCATTGTTTACCATTTCATACTCTGTGGATCCATAAAAATAAAAAACGATTCTCATTCAAGCTCTTGTCAGTCCCGCGATTCCGCTCATCGCCTTTACTTCTTCCGTGACTGGACGCAGGCCTTGCTGCGACGGCATGTGTGGGGGGGGAGCTGCGGCAGAGAGAGAGAGGGAGAATGTCAGCTGGGGCATGCAGTGGGCGACAGGATTATTCAGATAGTTGCTCGGTTTCAGTCACGGAAAAATGCGCCTCATTCCCGCCGCCCTGAAACAGCAGAGCGCTCGTGAGCGTCACGCCGGGGCCTTGGCTCAGTCGCTCGAGTGGCGTAGCGGCGGCGAGTTGTAAACTGCTCAATTCGCAAGTGAATGGATACAGTTCTAAACATGATGAGCCTCAGTAAGCATGCCATGGTTCATTCATTTCATTATTGAGTATTATGTGAATGATCCATCAATGCACCAATATGTCTGATGTACAAATAATTACTAATTCCAGCCATTCTCAACCCACCACTGGATGAAGGCCTCCCCATGCCATATTCGGTCTTTTGGGTTTTCTGACCACACATCAGCACGCTGGTCAGTGCAGGTGGGTAAAGGGGAGGGGGGAGGTCAGGACCGGGTCACATGTAGCGCTCTCCACCGATTGTTAGCCATGGTATGCCATGAACTTAGGTGGCTAAGTTCATGGCACACCCATCTAACCACTATATCATCGCTCCACCCAAGAATCGATTATTTATGAGGAATGCAAACGACGGGTAAATATCACAATCGAGCTAAGGAGGCCAACCAGACGATAAGAGTTAATCGAACAGCGACGGCGGCCGCCACGTGCCTGGCCTGGCAAGCTCATTCGAGTCGAGGGGTTTCATTGATGGAGAGTGAACATCAGGATTCAGAACCCGACACGTCGTCAAGCCGGTGGCGCGTTCCTCCGGCGTGCGGCATTCACGCAGAGATTCAAGCACACACAGAGGCTCTCTTCCGCAGACACGCGGTCCGGACTGGGCTCGCGTGAACTGGAGTTGCGAGCGATCGAATGAGAATAAGGGCAGGTCACTGGAGGTCTCACCGACTGCGACACGCGCACACCGCCCTGTGCACGTGCTGACACACAACGGATGTTCACGTGGAGACTGTAAAAGGTAAGTAAAGGTACAGGAGCAGCCCTGCAATGTCCTAATCACGTTACTGCTGGCAGTAGGTCCTCCACTGGAAGGAATTCTAGAGAAGCTCTCTGCAAGGTGTAGGGCCAACTCGTCCTCGCTGGCCGTACATCTTGGTAGAAGTGGAAGTGCCCACACTCTACCCCACCGCACGCGATATGCCAATCGGACTAACTGCGGTGCACCCCTTTATAAACCAGCTGTACGCATTTATACTGCCATGCAGGGAGACAAAACCGGCGAAACTCTAGGTTCCAAGTCCAGTGTGGTGATCATTACTCCACAGGCAAAAACACGTCTTACTCAATTGAGACTGTACGTAGCAATAATGGTACCCTACTGCCATACTAATGCCGCAGGTCACCCTTGCCAATATGACTCATTCCTAGTCCCTTGACTGCTCACCTGGTTGAACCAAATAAACTTGAACCCATATAACATTTAAAAAAACACAAATAATACACATAAACAGCCCTTTCGTCAATCTACTGCTGGATGAGGGCCTCCCTATATAGTGTTATATTGCCCTTGTTATTCTGTCTGTGCAGGTATTAAGATGACATTGTATGACATTACCTTGTCTAGGTCTCCTTTACCCAGTTATTTAATAATTTCCTGTCGTTAATTTCTATTTGTTGTCAAAGTTCTCAGCAAATCTGAGATGGTGATGAGATGTCCCAATTGCTCTCTCTCTCAGCTGCCACGTTTGTGATCCATGGAGGTGGTATTATGCCCGTGCATTATGCAGGATTATCCTCCATAATGCAGGGGCATAATATGACTTTAACCCACCGCCAAACCTCCTACGCATTTCACAAGTAGTACTAATCGCATATCTGCATTTCCCATAAATATGCTAATATTCAAATTATTTTGTCAAGGCGCTCTTCCCCCCTCCATCCCAGCTTAAATAGACGCTCCAAGCCTGGGGTGTGTCATTCAGACTGTCTTCTCGACAGACCTGTTCTCCACCTGAGGACGGCTGCTTGCGTTGTGGCCGAAATGTAGTGAAAATTATTTTATTATGTTTTATTTTTATTATTTTATTATTTCCATTCTACGTGACTTTACCGAAAGAACCAAGAAGATGAATCCCTGCAGTCACGAAAGCTTTAAATCGAAACTATTTTCAATGTTATTTCTTGTCAAGGTGTAATAAAAGGACTCAGACACTTCTTGCTGACTCCGTGTCCTTTATTTGGGGTTCGCGTTCTCCTTCCCACACGGCACTCCTCCTGAGACTCTCTCCCTGGCAGCCCCACATCTGCCTTCGCTCCCGTAGCCTTCCACGCTCCTGCAGCTCCGCTGCAGGCTCTTGGTACAGCCCTCTGGCTGCTCCCCCAGCAGCTCCATCTCTGCTCCCTGTTCCTCCGTGCGTGGCGATCTCGCCACCTCCCAATGTCAGCCCTTCGTGGCCTCTATGGCTATCTCGCCATTTCCTACCTCAGCCCTTCGTGGCCTCTGTGGCTATCTCGCCATTTCCTACCTCAGCCCTTCGTGGCCTCTGTGGCTATCTCGCCACTTCCTACCTCAATCCTCCACTCTCTCTTCCACCCCGCTGGCTGGCGCCGTCATGAGCCCCTCAGCAACCAGGCTGAGGCACGGCGACCACCCAACGTGTTCACCACCCTTCACTCCCCCGACTGACCCAGATAGCTTCCTGTCTCCCCGCTATAACTTCTCCCCCACGTCACCCTGACTCCTCCCTCTCGGATCGTCATATCCGCCCCGCCCATTTACGCCCGCATTACAAAGGTAACAAATTATAGCATTGTGTGAATAAACTGAAGGAATGGCTGTCAGTCCCTAACCTCTATACTTCCGCTTTAAACAGGGGCCATGGAGAGTGGTGTTGGTGTAGTGCGGTGAGCACACCGCAATATGAACCTGGCCACCCAAGCTGAATGCCTGAGCACGGCTAACATCAGTGGCGAGTGATGCCAGAATCGGATTCGAAGCTACCCCTCGCTCCGCCCACCGCATTAAGGAGCCAACACTGGACAAGGACAAAGCCTTCATCCAGCAGTGGACTAACAATGATTATTATAGTGCACTCTGACCATTGGAAGATGACGATGATGCTAATGATAATGGCGATTAGAATAATGCTAATTATAAAGGTGATTACTATCATGATTATGGTCAAGCTAAATGATGATAATACGTGAAATTATTACAAGCTTAATGATTATAAATAACACTGGGAATGACGTCAATTAATCATAAATAACGATGATGATGGTGACGACGTGCATAGCAATTGACTGATAATTACAACAGCATGACTACTGATGATGGCAGACCACTGGCGTCGACCGCACGGTGAACGATACCGACGGAGACAAAAGCGTGCACGAAGACGGCGGCGGAGGCGGCGGCGGCGGCGTTACCGACCGGGTGGTTTGGGCCTCGCCGGTCTCGGCGCCCCCGACGACGACGCCGCCCCCCCCTCGGACGACGGCCTCCGCACGGGAACCGAGGGCAGCGCCGTTCCCATGGCGAGGGCCAGCGGCGTGGGCACGCAGCCAGACAGGCGGTTGTTGGACCCTCGCCGCGCCGCCTCCCCGCTCCCCTCTCCGCCGTCCTCTCCCCCCGCGGGCACCACGGCCGGCAGCGACGGCAAGGAGGACGACGCCGCCATCGCCGAGGAGCCGAGGCCGCGCGGTGGCATCGCGCGCCGTTCGGGGCCGGGCCCGAGGCTCCCTTCGGACGTGGCCGCCGGCATCGGCGCGGCCTTCGCGTGCAACGGCTGCGCCTCGTGGCGGAACGCGGCCGCGTCGGAGTAGCCGAACTGCCCCGTCGATCCGAGGGCCGCCGCGTCGGGGTAGAGGCAGTAGGGGGGCGGCGTGGGGAGCTGCGGGAAGGGGGCCCCGTGCAGGGCCGGGTAGAGCCCCGTCGGTGGCGGGTGGTCGCCGTAGGCCGGCGGGAAGTCGGCGAACCCCATGGGGGGCGCGCTGGGCGAGGGCCGCTCGCCCACGTCGGGATCCGGGGATTTGAACGAGGGCGCCGGATCCGCTGCGGTCGGGTAGTCCGGCTCGGGAAGAGGCTGCGGCTGCGGCTGCAGAGGCTGGGATGGCGCCACGGGGTCGGAGGGCGGCGCGGCCTCGGCAGGACGGGCGGGCGCGGCCGCCGGGAGGGTCGGCTTCTCGCTGCCTTCGATGGGGACGTTGCCGATGAGGAGGGGAACGCGCACCGTGAGGTCCAGCGACTTGACGGAGACCTGAACGCGGCGTGCACGGCGTAGGCAGAGTTGAAAAGCCTGGACAGAGCACGAACCCGGCCAGCCGAGTTCGATTCACGCTCACGACCAACACCGGTGACGATTATCTGAACTGGTCATGGCCCTCCCCTAGGTCGACTCAGCTTTAAATTAGTACCTGGTGCGACGTGTAAACATCGCCACTTGGATACAGAGTACTTGCCCCAAAAGTCTGTTAACGATATCAGGGAATCTTGGTTTTTGTCTTTGCATATACGTAATCTCTTTTGTCAGTTCACTGCTGGATGAGGGCCTCCGTACGCCATACTTCACCATGCTGGTCAGCGTGGGTGGGTGAAAGCAGGAAGCATAGATGTAGGAGCACAGAAGTACAGGGCAACACGGGATTTTACGGAACGACTACTTGCTACCTACCATACAAGCCCGGCAGCAGCCCATAGCAACCTGTTGTGCATAGTGATGGCCCATCCAAGCACTATCCAGGATTAAAACTGCTTGGTATCTGATGAGTTAGAGCATATTTTTCCAGGTGATTTCGTCATATGCCGATGCATATACATTACATACAAAATATATAAGGACCACTTTGTGAAAACCAACACTGGTCACTCTGTAGATAGCCTGGTGCCTGCCATAGTAAAGTGTAATTTACACCACTGGTTCACTGCCACTAACGCAGACGAGCACCTTCACAATTACTAATTTGAGAACGCAGGCCCTTTAAACCGGACGTCCGTAAGCACGCTGCTCCAGTGTAAGGCGTGCCGCGTGACCAGCGAGCGGCGTGGCAGGGGCTTACGCGCCTGCGCTGCGATCCTGGCGGTGACCTGGATTCAATTACCAGCTACGCACAACACCTGGGGCAAAGTCGCCCCGTGGGACTGACTCACCCCGATTTAATCCGTAGCTGGTACCGTGGTGCGAGAACGCAGAGTGCTAATGAAAGAACGCGGACGTGGTTCTGGCCACACCATCGTCGCGTGTGCCACGCACTCGCTGACAGTAGTCTGTCAATGTTGTTCTGTGTATACATCTGTAGTATGTGTGTATACAATGCATGTACAGCAACTTTTTTGCCACTCCATTAGTGAATGTACGTATGTATGCAGAACGTTTTTTCGCACCGTAACGAAGCTAACCGTGCTAATCAGAGGTGCGGGGGAAAGACAACAAACTAAACACAAAAAGCAGCTCTAAAGAAATGAGTTTTCAATCTAGATTTAAAAGTGCATTGCTCCAGCGGCTTCCTAATATTGGAATGAAGAGCATTCCAGACGGCCGCAGAAGCGCATCTGAAAGCGCCACGCGATGCAGTGACCGTCTTTGTTTGATGGCCAGCCAAAAGCCGCTGCTGCGAGAGGATGACCGGAGTTCGCGTGACGATGGTTTATGTTCCTTGACGAGATCACCAAGGTATTGTGGGTAATTTGTGGCAAGCACTTTGTGTGTAATGAGTGGGACCTCATAATGTAAAGGCCTCTTGATGCCACATCTGCCATGGGGTTGCTGACCATACACCGCAAGGCTGGTCAGTGCGGGTGGGCCAAGTTAAGGCAGGCGACGGGGCAGGATTGGTTCACATATCACTCACCACTGATATTTGCCGCGGCAGGGAATCGAACTCGGAGCCCCCGGGGTTCGTGGCGCAGCACGCTGGTAACCTCCGGACCACCGCTCCGCCACACCCCGTGTAAATATTGTAATTTTATACTTCATGCAATATGCACAAAACTAAGCGATATATTCATAAATTATTTAAATATGACTTTCAATGAAATTTAAAATTTTATAATTTTACATAAATCATACCATTGCTGTAGTGTTAGCTCAGTGCACAAAAGCCTCTGACCCAAATAACCCAGAATTCACCACCCCAATTTTTTTTTTATCTGGCCGCACCAATGAGCACATCTCTTAACCCTTTCCCGTTCTGATGAAATACGTGTAAGTGATCAGTTTTTCTTCCAAGACGTTCGACAGCAAACGAAACGTCTCGCAACAAGCGTCAAAACACGCCAACCGCCGGGCCGCACCGATACGCGAGTGACCACGTGGGCGATACGACTCGTGACCCACGGGCGCTACGACGCGTGACCGTACGAGCACCGCGACGAGTGACCGCGGGCGCTGTGCGTGGGGACCTGCACAAAGTGCTCCAGGGAAATGAGCTTGCAGCCGGGTAACTCCGAGCAGGGCAACGCCGGCACGGAGAAGCGCTCCTTCCACTGCGTTGTCTGCTTGGGCCCGACGCTGCCACCGTCCTTTGTGACGAGCGTGGTCAGGTCCACGATGTCGCGCTTGCCCCTGTAAGTCACCATCTGGGAGGGACGGTACACGGTAAATTGGTGGTTAGGTGGAATGTGCGGTTAATCGTGGGTCAAGGAGAGGTAAATGAGGCCGTGGCATTGACAAAACAATGCCTTGTATGTCGAGCGAGCTGGCAAGCCGGCATATTAACGAAAGCTCGACTGATGTATGTGAAACTTCTTTCGCTCTGTACGTAGCCAACCGTGCTAGTCAGGTGTGTGTGTGCAAGGAAACACTCAAATAAACGCGCGCATCAGATGTGGACCCTGACCCGCGGCGCACTTGTCATTTTTAACGCAAGAGCCCAAATTGTATGCAGCACAAAACAATACTTTAAAAAAAACCAATGATACAGATCTGGGCATTAGTGTTGGTGTTCAGTGTCCAAACGGTGACAATAAAGTAACCAATCGGGTCACTTCATTAAATAAATAGTCCAACGTAAATCTATACAAATCCACTACAACATAAATTATTTTAATGTTTCTATTAGCGTGGATATTGATGTCATGTCAAGAGATGAACAAACACGTTATCTGGGAATTCTATCAGAAAATGGCATCATCGCAAGTTTGAGAAAGGCCTCTGGTGAAATCAGAGCACTACTTCTGAGATTCCCTCATTTAGCTCCCATTCACTCAGCAGTGGGTACACCTTCCCACAACGCCCTGCTTTATAAATGTTTATTGCACACAAAGCAACCTGAAAAAGTTGCTATCCTTAGAGCTGGAAATTTTCCAAATTAAGTCAAATTTCATATTTAAAGATGTCTTTGTGCAGTCGCTGATATCCAGGCTGACACAAGAACTCAGTTTCATCGTCATCGACTGAAACCCAGAATTTCAGCAGTGCCGGCTTCGACGCTCTGACAACGCATTCTCGCTACCCAGCCATTACTTCCCAACCGCATTTTAGCAATGCACTACAATCCACCTTTTCACGTCTACTAAATCTTATCCATTGAAATCCAAATTAAGCAAATATGGAAACCTGTACTGCGGTGTGATGTCAGGACCAGATGTTAGAAGTCTCTGGAGTAACGTTTGCGGAAAAGGCCCTTTGTTTAATGATATCAAATTATCATGATTTACAGCCCTTTGTTAATCCACTGCTGGATGAATGCCTCCCCAATGCCATGTCGTTAGACCATACTTCACCACGCTCGTCAATGCGGGTTGTTAATGGGGGGGAAGGGCACCCATGACCATATCAGTCGCCACCAATGTTAGCTGTTAGAGGGCAAGTTTCATGGTGTGGTGTGTTAACCACTGCGCGCCACTGCGCTGCCTGGTCCCGATCCATAGCAGAGAGAAATACAGAGGGAAAGCAGAACACTGCGAGCTGCCTCCATTCCGGTTGCGACAAGAATATTTTATAAAGAAGAGAAAAAATATGATTAAACCGAAAACACCACTCAAGATATTGTATGCTTGATAATTGAAAATGTTTAAGTCGAGAAATTAATTACAAACCCGATATTAACGAGGCTAAATTTAAAACAGCTTTGACAAAGCTTGCAACGGAAGAGAGGCCGTTAAGGCAGTGCTGCTCTGTGGCCTATTTTAGGTTTTAAATCACGAGTACACGACTGAAACTCCAGAACGCACTGGTGGTCTGTCACCTAGCCAGGAGATGGGGGTAGAGACTATGGATTGTTGAATACTTTTGTTCAGAGCTTTGAATGGTGTCCCCTCGTATGCATGGCATTTCGCCAGCTTGCCCGCTTTCTTCCAGTGTCCAACACTCATGGACAGAATTTACCAAACGTCAAAATGCAATAATCTCCTGAAAAAGAGGCTTTCCTGGACAACTAAAAACCATTATTATTAAACATAACACGCGATAATCATTCAACATCGTTACAGAAAATTTGAATAGCAAAATAAAAAATCCATCCTTCTCATATTTGTCCCTCTACATAAAAATATATTTAAGTATTTTTTTGTGACAATCCATCGGCCACACAGCCTTCTGGGAGTGTCTCATCAGCAGCATTGGTTCAAAACAAGCAAATCTTGGACCAGTTTTGACAGTCTCATTAGCATTCAGGCTAACCAGACACTGGTGAACTGCCTGTTATTAAGAACGTGACCTTCAAGACTGCGGAACCAGCAGGTGTCTCCCTTGAGCCATCAACTCTCAGGCAGCACAGCGACACCAGGGAATGTGAACCCACCTGTGGGACTTTGCCGAGACTCTTTAACCTAGCCATCAAACCTTTTGGTTAGCCATCAAACCTTTTAGCTAGCCATCAAACCTTTTGGTTAGCCATCAAACCTTTTACCTAGCCATCGAACCTTTAAGCTAGCCATCAAACCGTTTGGCTTGGCATCGAACCTTTAAGCTCGGCATCGAACCTTTCAGCTAGCCATCAAACCTTTAACCTAGCCATCGAACCTTTTGGCTTGGCATCGAACCTTTTGGCTAGCCATCAAACCTTTAAGCTAGCCATCAAACCTTTAACCTAGCCATCGAACCTTTTGGCTTGGAATCGAACCTTTTGGCTAGCCATCAAACCTTTAAGCTAGCCATCGAACCTTTAGGCTAGCCATCAAACCTTTAAGCTAGCCATCGAACCTTTTAGCTTGGCATCGAACCTTTTACCTAGCCATCGAACAAAGATGGCCACTGCATCGCGTGCTTTCAGGGGGCAGCTTCTGCGGCCACCTGGAACGTTCTCCCTTCCAATATTAGCAAGCCACTGGAGCTAACCGATTCTAAATCTAGATTGAGATCTCATTTCTTTAGAACTGTATATTGTGTTTAGTTTGTTGTATTTTCCCAAACTTACGATTAGCACAGTTGGCTACATCCGGTGTGAAAGAAGTTCAAACATACAAAATAAACTGATTAAACTTTGTGGTGATTTGCTTGTTTTTCCACCTGAAATTTGTGATTTATTTCTTGGAGGCAGCTGTTGAATAAAACTCGGTGTCTTCTTTGTGTACAGCATTCAAGTCATCAACATGGCACTTGCATTCTGGGATTAGCACTTCTGATTCACAAACAACTAACATAACAATATCGTACCAACATTATACAGTCATTTGGTTCAGAAAGTATTTTAACGTTCATGGGAGAGGTCAATTAATATATATATTCCCAAAGTAATTCAGTTCCTGAAGAAACGCTCCCAGCCCATCGAGCGAAACGTCAGACATCATGCCGAACAACACGTTGTACAATAACTGAATCGTTCCTGATGTTCCTCAAGCTCCCAGCACGTGGAGCGAAAACGTCAGACACCATGGTCACCAGTGCAAGGTACAACCCCAAAACACCTCAGAGACATGTAGAGCACAACCGTGAAAACCTGCGCAGTCGCAGCAACCGTTGAATCAAATTTCTGAATTAAACACAGTGAAGACGACACCCTAACCTAAACTAAAACCATTTTTATTTTACCAGGCAAGGCCCACTGAACTATGAAGCTCTTTTTCAGAAGCGACCTGGCCACAAATGATAGCTCAACAAAGTGGCTTATCATATGGAAATGTATAGCAGCCAAATACTCTAAACGCATGTTCATAAATGTGGAGGAAAAGACTGGAGGACCCGGAGAAAAATCCACGCGACCACGGGGAGAGAGACACCCAAACTCCAAATATACAGCAGGCATCAGGGTCGGGATGGAACCCACAACCTCCTGCATAACAGGCGAGGCAGTTAACATCTCGCCACCGTGGCACCACTCATCCAGATCATTGAGGGGACATGATATCGTTGACGATGGAAGTGACATGGGTACATAAAGGGAAGGCACAGCTGACAAAAACAACCATATGTCATCTTGCACGTGCCTTGAGCAGTGTGCCACAGGCGGTGCACAATGATCGTGAAACTTTATTGATTGAAAAAAAAGAGCATGGGCAGTTACGGTCAGGGGTTTTGCATATTGAGGTCACCACTGTGACACATCGAGAAGTACGGCAGAGGCACTGCAGGAATGTCACTAGGGCACTCCCCTCACGACCAGTTAAAACATCTGGCAGATAAGAGATATTTGTTTTGTGGCTTATATTGTCCACTTAAAAAAAAAAAACTCACCAAGCCAATTCTTGAGCTACACGTCGTCGTGAGTCACAGAACATTGTCTCAGCTTCTGTTCTTGACTTGCTCTCAGGGGTTTGGTCTCGGGGTGTCCGTGGTCTGAGAACCTGGGTCGTGTTTCCACCTGGTCACGTGTAATTTCTCAAAATGGTAACTTCGCGTGAAATTTGTCAATATTGACCGATTGATACCTTTTATTGAAAGGTAAACTATACGGCTTTTTCCCCAAAATTTGTATTGTAAGACAGTTTTATGCAAATGTATTATTTAAAAGTAGGTTGAAAGTATTTGGTACTTTCCATTCTACAAAATGAGATTGTTTTCACTGTCTGGAGGATGTGGCCTTGACTGGGCTTGGCACTGGCCTCGACTGTGCAGTTGGGGACAGGCACAAGCGCTGTGCCCATCAACCAAAAATCGAATCTTCAACTACGCCCGAGATCTATTTCGCTGTCTTGCAGCGCTGTACGAGTGTTGATCGTTACAACGTTGCCATCGAGGCGTCTTCGCGGTGCAAAGGGTGCACCGACATAAAACGCGAATGGGAAAAAAAACCTGACGACTGTTGAAAACCATGAGTTTTTTTAAATGCTGCGTTGGCATTTCAATCAGCTGCTAGTCAATCTGAGCAGTGTTAATGTTTAGTGATGGAGTCAATGGCACAAGGTACTGGGACAGCTGTCATAAAACTGAAAATTGGTCATGCGTTACAAAGGTCATCCTTTGTCCACAATCACTTAAGGACAAGGAACATGATTTAACGCAATGTCTTTTGTGTTCGTCGTAAACAGCTGACATTCGCAGACGTGACCTGAATAGTGAGGTTCTCTGCATTGCACATCAAGTGGCCTATCTTCTATGCATCATCACCACCACCATGGTGGCTAGGAGATGTTAACTACCTCGCCTGGTGTACAGGAGGTCGAGGGTTTGATCGCGGCCCTGACGCCTGCTGCTGTAT